GAATCCGTATTGAAGGTATAGCGTTTGCCTTGCCTCGGGTATAATTTCCCTTTAAACTGTAAAGCCAGTAGCCAGTAGTCCGTCGGTTAGCAGCAGAATTGAGATAAAATATTGGAATACTCGCCGACCCTTTCAGCTTCAATCAAAGCGGCGTACTATATACCAGCTATCGTAAGCTCCACAAGCAGATAGTGCGTATTGACTGAACACCAAGGCGAAAGGCCTAGCAAATGGGAGATCTTCAGGACTCCTAGATCAGCTATCCTGTACGGTAAAAGATATTGGTTAATGCTTCTGTGTGTGTGACTTTGTATTCCAAAGCCTGGCCCCAGATATATACTTTGAAGTTGGAGGTTGATGTAGGATGGATAATGCTGAGATTATCGACCGACTAGAAATCAGAGTCGCTAATCAAACACTCACTTCCCAGCAACCTGTATAGCTAGCGCACAAACAGAAGTAAGTAGAGAAGAAAGCGATGGATGAAATACTTAGGTGCAGAGAGAGAGACTGTCGATTGCGAAAATCTGAGAAGGAGGAGGTTGCGTGAAGTTAGCTGCTGGTTCACTGTCTTTGCGTGGTGCGATTGCGAAATACAACGCCGATTGACGTTATAGCTGGACAAGTGAGTTGTGGCAAGACACTTAGACAGCATAAAATTCGAGCGATTGTCATTGCGTAAAGAAATTCGCAGGGAGAGAAATAGCGATAAGATCTCGAGAAGACGTGGGTGAACAAGGCTCTTTGTTGCGTGAGGGGGCCCACCGGGTGGTTCAGTTGCTGAAAGAGGATCCGACCCGGCCTCCCGGTCCGTCGGATGTGTAACGCGACACAGTATGTACACACAAGCCCTCTTTCCCACACTCACGCACTATGCCTGATACCGTAGAAAATGGTAGAAAAGGCCTATTATTTGAATTAAGAATGAGATATCTTTTGTTTATTTTCGAAATTTTTATCAAGAAGACTAGAAATTGAAGACGATAGTAGAGCAAGACAACTTTCAGGGGTTGAAGGTTTTCGCACAAGCACTTTAGTGCGAGAATTAGTGCTGTTTTAGTGCGGTTTTTCCAATCTTCATACTCCTCGATTAAATTACTTTTATTCTTATTGGTATCTTTCTCAGAACTGATTGTAGCTACAGCACTACAGCAAGATGATTATTCCCTCTTATAGGTATGTCTTTCGCAGTGTGGCGGGATGGGTAAGACTAGCTAACAGGTGCGTGTGAGTGCAGAGTCCTCTCTTCGTCTTATTTCGCGGCGCATGATTCTGCGAATTGAAACATATCAGCAAGACTCTTCAATTCCGATATCTCGACTCTTATTTCAGTGTCCAACGCGGGCATTATGCCTGGAAGATACCACAGCTTGAGTTCCGGCTAAATCTCGAAGGCCAAGGAATCTCCGGCCAGCAGAATGGCGGAAGCAATATCAAGTCGACGCCACCGTCATCAATTCTCAATCAATGTACCATCAATCAAAGGTAATCAATGGGAAAAAGCAAGATCTGATGTCATGGTGTTCGGGAATGCGCGGAATCCGAGGGTTTTAATTGCATTCCGCAGGTCAAGCCTTGTGACGTCAATAAGGTGGTTCATTGATTTTCTGTTTACAGTGCGTTTATATTAGACCCGACGGATGTGGTTGCGGATTCCTGTGCCGCGAGCGAGATGCGTGAGGCGGTGTGATGTGCGCTGTCGGAGAGGCGGATGGGAAGAGATACGCTTTCCGATTGACCGATTCTGACTTTAGAGACGAAGATGAGATCGTCCTGGTCTTGTTGTTCAAACTAGGCTGAGAGAGGAAGTGCGGTGTTCGACGGTTCCTCTAGCTCCCCGGTTCGTTTCCATCTGATCTGCAGACGAAAGCTACAACCGAGATACCCGAGGAACGAAAATAATAATCATTACAGTAGCGACGTGTGCAAAGCAGACGATTTGCTGAAGACATCCTCAAAAATCAAGGCATCTAGTCCCATGAACAACAAACAGATCGCCAGCACGGTCAGGATAATCCTGGACAGAAACGGTCAGGCAAGCAGCTAATATCCGTGGATCCAACTCCGAAAGCCCGCGCGAATATGCCTGTTTCTATGCAGCAGTGCAGCAGCAGTTGCAACGGCTGCGCTGCTGTAGTCGTTGTAGAGATCGTAGGATGTAACTTTCACAACATCGAAACTCTCGTCAATCTTCAAAAAAGTACAGCGTTGCCCTAACTTGTCTCGGGTTGCAACAGCCTATTTAATTTCCTCTTCGGCCTTTTTCGTCTGATTTCTTATCTATTTAGTTTAGCTCATATTTCTTTCGCTGCAGCTCTTACCGCAGAGTTTGCAAGACGGCTTGTGTCGATGCCGCTGCTTCCGTTACAGCAGCAATGTAGGTTTATATATTGGATGAGACCGAAGGTGACAAAGCGATTTATTGCTTATTCGAAAAAAGTCGCAAGAATCGCTTCTTACGACACGATCGAAAGTGTCAAGTCGGTTTGGCTTGTTTAAAGGCGAATTTGGATGCGTGTTTGCGCGAATGTATTTTGTGTGCAGCAGTTCGGACTTGCCACTGCTTGCTGCTGCTGACGATGAAATGAGAGATATGCCGGTTTGAGGATATCGATGGAGGACATGTAACTACTGGCGGACATAAAATGGCTATAAGAGAGAACAATAAGAATCAGGACAGAAACGGAAGAGAACAGTCCACTCGATCGCGGAATGAAAGATTGGTATGAATGAACTGCTAAAATTGCCTATACGGACCAAGGCATCAAAGATATGAAAGCAAAATGAATCTGTGATGAAGCTGTGATGAAGAGGTGATGAGACTATGGGGTTGAATGAATGAAAGTGAAGTGAAGTGATGTGGAGATAGTGAAGTGGCTCTAGCGGTGTCGGAGTCGCATTGCTGATTCCGAGATGACGTTCGGATCTAGGATGAAGATGCCTGATTATTTGTGTGATTGTGTGTTTAATATCGGAAGGTAAAAGATCTGCGATCGTTAATAGCAACCTGATGAGTGTACTTTCGAAGGTGGTCCGTTCTTGATAGTTGACGTTGACGATGATGATGATCTGAGATGAGCGCAGAGCTCAAAAACTCACTTCAACAAACTGAAGATACTCGGCAATTAAATCCATAAACATACAGCATAAAAACAGAGAGAGAGAAAAAGACAGAATCGGAGAAAAAGGACAGAGACAGACCACCTGATATCAGGATTTGGCGAAGCATAGACCTTTCCTTCACCGCCAACCACAGACACAAGCCAGCACACTATGTGCGCAACAAAGGTGTAGACTGCGATTCGTTCAGCATGATTTGTTGACCAGAATATACATGTACGATTGACAAAGTTATCGTATGTTTCTAATGTGCGTTTTGTTACAGTTTGCAGCGCTTCGCTGTGTGGTCGTGAACTCCGAAGTGGAAAAACAGTACAGCACAACACGACACGCGATGTAAGTACTGCTCAGGGCGAAGATCCACCCCAATCCCGAGCCGATCCAAATCCATACCACAACGACACGCGATGTAAGTACTGCTCAGGGCGAAGATCCACCCCAATCCCGAGCCGATCCAAATCCATACCACAGATACACAATCTACACGCCGTCGACGACCATCTACGGAAGATAAATCCGGATCGGAGGTTTGCTGCATCTGAGATGCTAGACGAAGACAGAGGAAAGAGTGGGTTTTGGTTGTGCATATAAGCGAAATCGACTTGAGGTTTGCTGCGCAGGCGGCAGGCGGAGCCGCACAGCACTGCAGGGGATTAAGCGTCTGACTAAAGATACAGAATTTGCTATTATAGAGTGTTATTACAGAGTGAGTTATCTGATTTGTTTACAGGTAAACTATGTGATGGGAAGAGTACGTCTCTGAATAACTGATTAGCAGGAATGTGTGTGGATGAGGTGTGTGCAGCATGGAGGGCTGTGACAGAATGTCCGGTGGATGGCAAAAGATCCGGCGGCGAAGCCAGCAAGGTACTCTTGAGTGCGACGCCCTGCGAATAGCGAAGGAAGAGATAACCGGCGATGGCATGCCGTTAGGATTATCATATTGAGGCACACCCGAACAGATGATGGAAGGTAGACATAGAGTAATACAAAGGTAGTACAATTTAGGCTTGACTGTAGATGTGGGTTTGGGTGAGGATGTAGAGAGGGCGAACAAAGCGCAAGCGAAACTACACGCCCGCGAGAGTAGCTACGTACGGCTTCAGCTGCGGGTGTGCCTGCCTGTGTATGAGTATGAGTATTGGTGAAAGAATAAGCATGTCGTTCTAGGCTATAAACAAGACTCGAGCAAGAACTCGTTTAAGGTTAACGGAAGCTTTGGCAGAGCGGCCAAATACGGCAAAGATCAAGAAAACAAAAACTAAAAAAATAGGATTCAAATTCTTGTTTTCTTTGTCCTTTTTCTTTTTCTCTTTCTTAATCTTCGATTCTACCGCCATTAAAGCGTTGGTGCTGGCGGTTTCAGGGTTCCTGTTCTCTCGCTGTCACCGTTTACGTGTGCCTGCCTCGCCCCTGCCCTTGGGAAAGTACAAAAGTCCGATGGGGATGACGACAGGGCGAAACAGCGAGCGGGACGTTATGCAGGAGCTGCAGCCGGCGCTGGGTTCCGCCCCGTCGGCACCGTGTAGAAGTAGGGTAGGCGAGGCTGCGACGGGAGGAGGTGCAGTGATAGTAGATCGCGAGCAGACGGTATTTGATATGATAACGACTGCACAGGCCGCTGCTGCTCGAGGTGCTGCTGCTGCCTCCGACATCCGAACGTGGCGCAGTGCAGGTGGGTGCAGTTCACGGCAGAGTTGGTGCAGTTGAGTGCAGCACCCTGGCGCCGTGTGTCGCCACCCCGTCCTCGACTCGGTCGACACCGCAGTCGGAAGTACGCGACACTGCGTCGAGCTGGTCCGAGAGCTGGTTGCAGGTTTTTGTCGCTACCAGACGATTGTTCTTCTGCCGTCGTTTCGTTCGTACCTCCGCACTGCGCGCGCTCGTCCTCACCGCTCCTCTCTCCGTGCGCACTCGTGCCCTCCTTCATATTCTCTCCTCCTCCTCCCTCCTCTTCTTCTTCCGATTCCCGCTCCTCCTCCGCATCTCCGACCCATGTCCCGTCCGCGCAACGTATAACTCCTCCCCTCTGCCTGGGCACGTCCCGTCGTCGCTCTGCTCTCTCTCTCCGCGCTCCCGTCCCGGCCCGTTCGTCTGCTTCACCTAGTTAACCTAACGCCGCCATCACTACCATCCACGCTCCCCCCCTCCCCCTCCCCTCCTTCTCCTCCTCTCTCTCTCCGCCAGGCTCCGCGTCCCTCATGTCCGACCGCCCGCCTCCGGCAAACGACCTCGGCCGCGTCTACAACTCCTACTCCTCGCTCTCGACCTCTGCGCACTTCCAGCAGCATCCGCAGGCTCAGTACCAATCTCAACAGCAACCGCAACCGCACTCCCAGTCGCAATCGCACTTTCAGCACAACACCCTGCCGGCACATTACCCTCATCACCTTCTCTCGCAGCAACAACAGCAGCAACAACAACAACAACAGCAGCAACAACAACATCAACAGCAGCAGCATCAACGGCAACAACAACAACAACAACAACAACAACAACAACAACAACAACAACAACAACAACAACAACAACAACAACAACAACAACAACAACAACAGCAGCAGCAGCAACAGCAGCAGCAGTACCACAACCTATACTATCAGCCCGGCGTGTCTCAGCCATCATCTTCCGTCGGGACGCATCAGGGTTCGACGTACATGATGCAGCCATTGCAGCAACACCAGATGCTCGAGCAAGCCGCCCAGGCGGGTATGGGCCCCTACGCAGGTGGTAATTATTTCATGTTTACTACAGATATTTAATCAAACAGTCTGCTAACATAGCTTCCAGATGGCGACGAACTCTCACCCACTCGACTTCCCTCGATTCAGGCGCTCCTAACCTCGGCCTCGAGCTCAGCCTCGTCAAGTTCAGCATCCGTCGCCTCGTCCACGACAGCGCCTACAGAGTCCTCGATCGCTGCCACTACAGGTGCTGTCCCCGCGGGTGCCGCCACAGCGCGGCCGGAGGGCTCGCCCAAATCAAACTCGGGTGTCGGGGCGTCGCGGCAGAATAGTCAGACCCCTACTGCGCGGTCGACTCCGACGCCGGCGTATATCGTCGATGGGGGTAATGATACGGCCAAAGCGCTTTACAGTTCACCACAGTCATATAGTCAGATCCATCATCATCAACAATCACTACCACAGCCCCATGCTGCACAACAACAACAACAGCAACAGCAGCAGCAGCAACAACAACAACAACAACAATCATCCCTTCAATCATCATATCCGCAGCAGTATATCCAACAGGGGCACGCATACTACCCAGTTGCAGCGTCATATCCGCCGTATCCTGCTACTCCATCACTGCACGCGCAATCCGCAACCTCTGCCGCTGCACCCCCGCCTCCTCCACCACCCCCACCACCTCCTTCACAGTCACAAGCCCAGGCGCAGTACGCTGCATCATATATGTACGCACAGCCACCGATGGCCATTCAATCTACCTCGACCGCCCCCCAACAACCACAGACAAATCCCTACTACTACACATACTCCCCCGGTGGACCCGCGTCGGTTCCGGTGCTGCCGCCAGGCCAGAACATGATGATGCCACACCAACACATCAAGCCGAAGCGGAAGCGCGCGACGCCGTTCCAGGCCACCCGGTTGGAGGAAGTGTTGCAGCAGACGCATTTTCCGTCGACGGAGCTGCGACTTGAGCTTGCGCGGGAACTGGGCATGACGCCGCGAACGGTGCAGATCTGGTTCCAGAACCGGAGGCAGGCGCATCGAGCGGAGCGGAAACGCATGCCGTCGATGAGGTCTGCGTCTGGCGGTGATCAGGGCGGCACTAGTGGAGCTGGCGAGAGAGGCGGAAGTGCCTCGATTGGTGGATCAAGTGATGGTCGATCGGGCGACGAAGACGACTTGTTGTCGCATGACGGCAATTAGTCGTCCTTGCGTTGCAAGAAGATAGAAATTTGTGAATAACTATATATTTAGCCCGTTCTTGCTTGTTTATCTGAGTGTGATGAAAGCAAGGACGTGGTGATCGCTCCGGCATTCATCGGGGCGGCTTTGGGTATATATGTAAAGATATATATATATGTTCATATATATTTATATATTTGTGTATGGTATTAACGGGAGGATAGAATAACTTTTGGTGTTTACTGCATTTGCTATGATTTTTTCCTTCTTTAAGACTTTTCTTACATTTCTTAACTGTATTATTTATGATTCAAGGGTTTTATTTCATCTTTTTTACTTGTGTTAATAGAAAAGCTTTATGATATAGATAACAAAGTGTTCAGTGAGACATGACTTTTATGAAAATTAATCAGTATTGAATTGTAGATCACCTTGGCGCATTGAACGTTGATATCTCATATTCTGAGAATCAAACATTGTGCCATGGATGAGACTTAAAGCCTTGTCTTCATTCGAGTGTGGTATTAAGAAGGGAATGAAGCCGAATGAAAGTAAGCAGATGGAGTGTGCTCTACCATAGTAAAGTGGACAGGGAAGCTGGCGGCGAGAGGGAGTTGTTTCGGAGCGGGCCGGGACAGAGATCAGTGAGCCACGTGCTGCGGCATTCTGCTCATTTTTTCGCCAGTTTATAAACATTCCCCAAGATCTTCAGTTCTTCGCGTTTCGGAGATCCAATCGCCTTCGCTTCTCTCTCAGCTGTTTGCTTCCGTGCTGGTTTGAGGCGGAACCGGCTTCGCTAGCTTCGCTGAAAGACGTATTCGGACTTCTCGGGCGAGAAATCTTGTTTGGGTAGACTTTGCTTTGATTGGGGTTCTGCTGTCGCTGCTGCTTCTGCACGCACACAATTTGTGGTGGGCTAGCGAGGAACGTGCTGTTCTAGCGCTTCTACAGTACGCTAATCACCATGTGCTATTCTTGCTTCCGTAGGATATGGGAACAGAGAGGTTGACGCCCGGCCGGTCGCTCGCGAGTCGGGACGCGGTCAGATTGCGGCCGCCATCAGAGACATTTCTTCACCTCCGCATCTCCTTCAATTAAATCAGATACCGGACCCTGACCCGCTTCTTTCATATTCTTTCCAAAATCCTGCACGGCTTGAGACCGAGAAATCGGCTAGTGTTGTATCGAATGTAATTGTAACTCTAAGACGGGCCCCCGAGCCGGTCGGTGTTGATGAAGAGCTGAGCGATTAGTGCGTCCCGGCATTCGGCTCTTGCGTTTTCCGTGCGTACCGCCGACGAATGACGAGAGCATGGCAAGCAAAGTATCTCTACACAAGTCATTCCTACTAAGTATACACATAAAAGATCAAACCAGTCTCTTTCTGTCTGTCTCCGAAGTGATTTAAAGTAAAGACCTGCAGCGCGGGAGACAAGTTCCGACTTCTTTTTTCGCTCGGCAAAATCTGGTTGATCAAACTAAACTTGTGTCGCCTTCGGCTTTGCTATTTTTATTTTACCTTGAATTCGGGAGGCCTGCTAACTTCCACGGCCAGAATTAATTATTGTTTGTCGTTCTCCGATATAATGGACGAACAATAGACGACGATCTGAACAAAGAGAAGGATTTGTGGAGACAGTCTAGAGGTGTCGACAGTGGCTTAGCTGATTTGTGTAGGTTAGAACTTACCTATACTCCTAATCCTACGATAGCGACTCCAGCTCAATCGCAGTACTGCAGCGGTAGGTAAATCATACCCGATTGATCCTATTCCTCCAAAAACAGAATGCACTTCGTCGCAGTCCTCGTCGTCGCCGTGAGCCTCGGAGCTGCAGGCAGCCAGCTTGCAACGTGCAGGACGTGCATACTCGTCTGCATGTCCGCAAAAATTGCAGACCTACCTAATCTCGCCCTCGCTGCTTTCTCGTCTCGGATCCAACCCGGACAGTGCTAGCCTTAATCTTTCCTGATTGACACGATTTTTCATATCGTCTACGTCTATTTGTTCTCAGCCATCGATTGAAATATTTCTGTAAACCTTCCCAGTAGACGCACGACATTATGAAGAACCACACAGAGCTCTCGTTCGGCGTATCAGCAGTCAACGCATCTGCATTTCCTCTCCAAATTTTTGTTCTTAACAGTCCGCGACACAACAACGACGCTCGCAGCCTGACGCCCGATATCACTTTTTCTCGTTTTTCCTCGGGATGCGGCACTGACATATGCCAGCTGCGGCGGCTTTGTTGCTAGCTGCAGATGTACGGCACGGCTCTATACTGATCATAGTGAACTTCACACTCGTAGCGAACGAAGCACAGGGATGACAACTTCGCCTAGATCGACGATACTGCCCTCTTCTTCAGGCGTCATCTCAAGTGACAATTGCCAAATTCACGAAATTTCCTTCTCTCGCGTTATCTCTCTTACCTAAACGCAACGCGCAGATACGGTTCACGACAGCTCTTGCGCGCTGCAGTCCCGCTGTCTCACTGTCTCACTCTGCTTGCCCCAACCTTCCTAAAATCTCGAGCGCATTTAACTTATTTACCTACCCAACTGCTCGCGCTCACCCTTATTCAGGTTGCCTCCGTTTTTAGCTTCTTGAAGTCTTTGTCCGCCCCGTGTCCTCTGCTGCTAATTGATTTTTCATTGCCTATAATGACGGTGTAGGAAGCTGTTTGTCTCACAGGTAAGCCTGCCTTACAAGTTGTCAAGTCAACGCCGCAGTCTCTGCGGCACCGCCAGGTCGCACATTGTTCAGATGAGATCCAGCACATTATAGATGCGCTAATTAAAGATCTATTCATTACGTTTTGGCTTGTTTTTGATGTATCAAATACTTTCGAAAATATTTCATTAGATGTAGTTCGAATCCGGAGAACAACCAACTCTCGAAGCTCTTCTGATCTTCACACCTCCGTCTTATTCTCGGACAGTAGGCATTCGACACGACCTTTATTTAAGATCTCGGCCGTACATAACTCTCGCTCACCCCAAAAGCAGTCCAACAATATCACATACCAGAACTCCAAGTGTTCGCGCGTCATTCACTATTTTCGGGGCTCTGAGGTCCGCCGTTGAACTTCTTGTCAATCGTGATTGCTCCCGACTCAGCATTCAGTAAACGCAAAAAACAGCGAACAGTACCGGGTAGATTGACCACCGAGCGTGACTCATTCCAATTGATGCCCAACAAGATCTTTGTTGTATTCATATATGAAACAGAAGACAGACACTGATATACTCACTCGATTGGATAATTGGCGCAGGTTGCTCGTATAAGAAGCAGGCGCTCTGGAGTTTTCGCTCATGCCTTGATTGTGGACCTATAAAATGGCACCATGAACGCAAAATCTAGTCTGGCTCCATAATCTGTCTTCGGAAGAGTATGAACTGTTTGAGAGCACGACGTAAAGACCAGCAGGTTATCGAATATTGATCGATCGACGTCCAGCTCCTGTCAATTCAAGCGAAAATTAGTGGAATCGAGTGAGCCAAATAACGCAAATCACCCACCACAGAACTGACAATAAAATCACATATCACGGCGACGAATAGAGATACGATGAGAGTGAGAATCAGCACTGATGAGTGAATAATGATGCTCTTGTGACGCTCCTGTGACTGAGCTTTGAAACAAATTCGCTAGATATGGAGTAAAAACCGTTTACCGAGATCAGAGAAAACCCTATTCGAAAATCACTTCAGAACGCGGCAGTTCTCTCTCTCCCATAAGTGAATTTCTAATTTCTGTTCATATAGACAAAGGACAGTTGCGCAATAAAATATAGTCAGGAACGAAATAGAGCTTATGAGGACGACTGTGCGCTCTTATACTGCGCGTGGCTTGCGTGATCTTAAAGTGGCTGCGAGATTAGTGGCTGAGCACGCCTGTTGCGTTCTCTGTTTCGGTTGCTATCGCTCACTGAAAAACCTCATTTCAGCTGTTTGTAGAGTCCGAGACTCAATCAATCCCGCCGCTCGCTCAATTAGCCTGTAGTTCGGTAGTTTTGTCTGATTACTCCATTCCGCCTGCTCAGCTACAGCGTTCTGTGGTGATGCCCTCTCGCCTGCAGCATCTGACGCGTCGCTACTACTTGAGACAATGTGATTGAACGGAGTCATGGACCGTTTTGGCCACTTGCGCTATATGCACCAAGGTCCTCAGTAAGACCGATGAAAAGATTCCACCAACGTCTTTTTTACTGGAGGCTCTATATCCCGGCGATCAGTCGATCATCGCCGAAATTTGTGTCTCTGAGACTTATAATTGACTCATTGTTTCACCTCTATCACGATGATCTCGAACCCTGCCGCGCCCGCTATATTGGATTATAATGTCCTCTGATCTGATGATTATGATACAGCTTCTGCGCGCAACAAATCCACAATCACATGATCAGCCGCAACTATGCACCAGTTCTGCATGCATCTCATTTGCAGGGCAGTGACAGTTAAATCAGAAGAAAAGTAAACAAACAATCGGCAGTACTGAAAAGAATGAACTGTGCTTCAACGCATCTCGCTAATGTACTTCTGTCCTCGGATTCCTCACTAGAACGTTCAGTAATTTAGTTACTGACGCACCCTTTCCCTTTCGTCCCTTTCCCCCTTCGCCCTCCCAGCGATAACGCGGCCAGTAAAATTCAGCGTGCCCTTAAGGCCAGTGAGTTTCGCACGCCACACGCAGGCTCAACTCTGTTTGCTTTAGGAATTTCGAGCCCGGAGCTCAAGCCAGCTGGAGAGCAGTTAAGCCTTTTATAGCTTTCTTTGCTCTTTTGTTTTCCTTTTTCAGGTGAGCGAGAGGGGCTATGCTGGGTATGATGTGATTGTGGAGGAGGTGGACTGCAGTTGCGATGGCGCGATAGAAGGGATGGAGGCTGTTATCTTTTTCATACCTTCTCTATAATCCTGCGTTTTAAATCAATTGTCTATCAAAGTTAATCAATTCTCCATTGCTGGACATAGAAAGCCCGCACAGAGCTTGGTGCTACAACCACTCATGGCCTGGTATTCAGTCTCATGGTCCGATGACCTACCCAGCAGTTAAATATCACCGCATAAGAATGACAACATGCAAGGTCTAGCTAGTCGTCATCCTACGCTGAAACGCAGAAACACTGGATCAGGCACCTAACAGCAACCGTTGTCAGATCAGAGCGGTCTAGCGGACCAGGCCAGGGTCCAGGAAGTCGGCTACGTCGGTCGCCGTAGAACACGGCGACGTCAGTCGCGCCTGCTCCGATCAAAAACCGAAACGCTCTTGCCAAAAGCAAAACCAACTGGGCAGATATTCACACAGAGAGTTGGTAAAGATTTAGATCAGCAGAGTCGCGTCCGTGTAAATGTGGCGAAGTAGCGTCGTCGCGCGCCGAAGGGTTGTCGTTGGATGACATAATGAGGGGATAAGCGATGGATAAGTGGAAGGTAAGTGGGAGTTGTAGTGGAAGCGCAAGTGATTAGGAAGATAGTAGATGATGGTTCATTATCAGGAAGACTGGGTAAGCCAGGCTTCCTTAAATATTACTCTACAAGATGCCTCATTCTATCCTCTCGCCGGAAGAGATTAGTCTCCACGTTAGCAGGACGAGGAGGCTGGCTCTCGAGGAGTAAGAATGTTAGTAAATGAGTGTGGTTTGTTGACAAGAAGAAACCGTGCGGAGGATGAAGGGATCTTTGATGAGGGGAAACCTCCCTGCTCATGCCTTAGCGTCCTGCGAAGTACTCTTCCTGCGGGAGGGTGTAGGCGTGACCTTGTGAAGTGAGGCAGAGGTAATCTCCCGTGGATGGACTGCTGGTTAGGCGTTCTGAGGTGAGGCAAGATGGCTGGGCTCTTGCAGGGATAGATGTAGTAGACGGACAAGCATCGTGAGGTGAGGCAGGATGACAGGTCTCTGACACGGATGAGGGTTTGGAGGAGGCCGGGCAGTTCTGCCTCGCAACCTCATGACAGTAAACCCCCACTCTTGAATAACAGGTTGCGACATCGTCAGTTCGCCGTTTGCACGTGCTGGACAAATCATCACAACGTCTTCCTCCGAAATCCATTTATTCTCTACGAAGAAAGAGTCAATTAAAACAAGACGATCAAACGGTACGATCTGCTCATGTCTTGAGCATGATAATATCGAGACAGAGGAGCACGCGAGTGCTGACTCGCAAAGACAAATTATTAATCACATATAAGCATTTAGGATTTTCATGCCGCTTTTCTCGCCGCCACTGCTGTTAATGTTAATAGTGCCGGGTGAATGAAGCACCGGCGAGCTGCCGATTGTCGAGTAAGAGTGGGGTAGGCTGACGTTCGGCGTTCTCTAGCTCTCAGAAGTGAGGTACGCGGTATTTGTCTGCTTAACCCGGTTTACTTCCTCAGTCAGGACACCAAATCGAGACTAAGCATTAGGGCGATTCTAATCTTCGCTCGCATTAAACCCGAGGTAATCGCGGGCTCGGTAATAAAGACAATCGAAACAAAAGTAAATAGAGAGAAGAGGCCGGCCGCTCAAAGGTTTATACAGTTATAACTGAGAAATGCCCATTGCGCAACCTACCTCGCCCTATGCGCCAGAAATGAAAATTCAGCGGCCACCCAGCCTGAACAAGGTTATTTTCCCTGCTTAGATTCCGAGGCTAAGAAGAGCGCAGGCAAAGCCTAGACAACTATGATTGTATTCCTCTCGGTTATAAGGTGAGGGAGTATGGGAATGATATTTCTGACAGCTATGGCTTATCGTCTGTGATCATCTACCTCGGTAATGGCTCAGATGTTCATCAACCTCTTCAGTCTGCGGAACAGTAGTAGAACCAATAAGGATGGGCTAGAAGAATAAGCGCAAAAACAGAGTAACTTCATTGAGTGTTGAGCCCAGCCGTCTGAGGTCCAACTGGTGCCCATATCGGTCAACAGGCAAAAACTCTACCATCAGCGATAAAGGCACATGATAGCAATGATATGTGGCATCGAGGTGCAAAAGCTGCTTAAAATGAAATTGCTTGACAGAGTATGATGAAGAACGAATAAGAACAGGGGAGAAATCTAGGACCAGGACAGAACGCGCAACGCTCTGGTTGAAGTGAAGCTATTTTCAGTAGTTGTTGTCTATTATGCCTACCCCTACCATCTATAGCTCTTTGCCTGCCATTTGTTTGAATATCATTCAGTATCTCCAACAATTAATAGTATTAATATTCGCTCTGGATTAACTCTCAAGATGACGATTCGCCAAGATCAAATCAGGATACTCAAAAGACAGGCAGTGGTTTATAGCAATCTTAATCTATTGAAGTCCAAATGATTGCTATGACGACTATGATGAGATAAATAAAATTCTAGCTAGAGTATCGGGCGAGAAAACCTTCACTAAACGCCTCCCTCCCCGTGTGCGTACTTGTCGGATTTTTTGTGGCTTCATCCGAGGCTATTAACTCTGTTTTGCTTGTGCTTTTATATCCTGTTGAAATGTACTGTATTCTATTCAAATTCAGGAGTGTTGCAATATGAAAATAGGGACTACAATATTATGCTTCTGATCAGCATCACTTTGAAGACTGTGGACAACAAAGGTACGTGTGATTTTCTTAGTTACAACTTACATCTATTTTATTTTATCTTATTTCATTCTTATTTCATGCTAATTCATAGCTTCGGAGGTAGTAAAGCCTATTTGGGCTGTCCATTTGTAGTATAGGTTCAGGGCCTTCGACACAACACATAGTTACCTTCAGCGAGCCCCCCCTCAGCCCGCCCGCTTTGCTGCTTTCTCTCTCGCTCTCCCTCGGCCACGCTTCTATTTGCTGCCAGTGCCTGCTCCGTGCCTTACTGCCTGTATTGGACCTGTCGCCTAGTGAAACCAGCCGACCGAAAGAGGTCTAGCCCGTCTGCGCCCGCTTGTACCTTGAGTTTACAGATTCGCAGCTCGGCCAGCAAATCTTAAATTCTAATCTCACATCTAGAGATCCTTCAACTTTCACGCGATCGCAAATCCGATGAAGCTCACAGCCCAGCAACATAGTGGACTGCTTCAATTGCGAAAGTTCAAATAACTGCACACATGAAAGAACAAGGAATAGAGAGAAAGCCGAAACCATGGGAGAAGCCTTCCGCACAAAGATAGGCTGTCGGAGTGTTGCCCTGGCAGTCAGGTCTGGAAAGTTTAGTGTTCCTTGTTTTGGTTACCATTCGACATAAACCGGCTGCAGAAACCGCATTCTAGGTTTATCACATTACTGTAATTAAACAGTGACATTCCAGCTACCGGCATCCAAACTTAGCTAACTTACCAAATAGCTTAAATCTGTGCCCCTGCCATTCATTCACTTGTTCAGGCATTCGTTCATTTCCCCCTCTCTTGCCTGGCAACCTGCTTGGTCCGAATTCGCGCCAAAGTATGGTGTCATCACACCGCGAAGAATAACACCACACTTCTTAAAAGAATACCATAGCCTGCCTATTATCCGACACATAAATTCATCCTTTACAAAACAGCTGCGCTTGGCAAATTGCCTCTTTCGTTCTAGAAGATCGAGACTAGTGCTAGCTGCTCTGGCCGCGGATTCTAGCCAACCTCACTAGTTCCTAGTTCCAACCGCCCGCTTCGCCGTTCCTGCTCTTTTCGAATTTCCTCTCTGCTATCACAAGTAATAATATTCGATTTACGGGCGGGATAAAGCACAGAGTCGAACCAGGCGGACCTATATTTACCACAAATTCATCACCATCATTCGTAAAATCCACGAAACCTGTCTCTTTCTACAAAAATTATCTCGATATCTCGCGCAACTCTTATTAAGGTTATCTCTGCCGCGTACCGACCTCTTTTTTCTTGTCCATTCCTGTTTTATTTTTGCCTTAACCACTTAGAGAAATATTCCGCACGCCGCTATCCCACCACCCGAACAGCATCGATCTTTTAAAGTCCTGTCTGTCTGTCCTTCTTTTTGCCTCTTGCACTCCATACAGCTTGCGGGGAAACGGGGGATGGCGATAATAGCAAGACAGATGAAATTTTGCTGCATTGCTGCATTGCTTGCGGTTATAGGTTTAATCTCGTAAAATCGGACCGGCGCCTCTGTGGTTTCTGTGTTTGAATGAGCGGCCAAGCAGCGTACTGGCAAATTGCTATCTAATTCGCTGTTTTCTGGGTCAAGCCTTCACCGTTGAAATACGAAATGTGCTCTGTTGCTGCTGAAATATCAAACGTGCGCCTGTTATGAAATTCTTCACTGAAAGTGGGAATCGGGAAATTGCCGGGCTCAATCTCGCTTTTTCTTCCAAGCGCGTCTGCAAACACTGCTGAAGCCAGGAATGGCAAACTGTTCGTATTATAGCAAACCTGCTATTCAAATACAACTCAGACGTTTTTATTACCTGATGTTTTTGCAAGGGGCGAATTCGAGAACCTTGTCAGTGGTAGCGACCGGGTCGACGAAGCTTCGCGACGCTCCATGCGCACACTGGACAACCTTCTGTTGACTTCCGAGGACTGTTGATATTACTGGCATACAGGACATTTCCCATGCATACTTCAAAGATCTACAATGTATACTCCTATATGTTATTAATTATTAAACGCTTCGTTGTCTTGGGAGCGGACGAGGAGAGGGTCAGAGCTGAGAACCCAGAGGGGCTTTCAGGCGCAAACTTCCCTGCGAAGCCTACAACTGTCTCACGGCAATCGCACATACGGAGACAGCCGAAACCAAAAGCGAAAAGCTCCGAAATCAAAACAAAATAAAACAGAGACATTTACGCCTTATGAATTCTCAGCTATTCCCGCACAAGATATTACAGCCACTTACCAGCGTTGCGCCTGACATGACGACATATACACGGAGAGAAAAGCTTTCGACTTCATACTTGCGTTAATAACGAGAATGAACTGCGAAACTTACGATTGTACCTTATGGGCGGACTGAAATATACGGTATACGATGAATGATGCGGAGACGAGAGCAACTACGAAGAGAAGAAGCAAGAACGATGAGGTCCATGCTACCCATCACCTTCAATATTAACCAATCGAGCGGTGAAGATCCTTCATCGTTTATCAGACTAGTGAAGCTGTATGAAGTCTAGTATTGATGTGCGTACGACTGGAGTTGACGCTGATAATCAGAGCCTTGCGAATTTCCTTTCGACCGGATGCGAGAACAGATTCTATACGATAAGAACGAAAATCAGCACCACGAGCGCAAAGAGAACGAAACACAAAAGATATTTTCAATCCAGTAATAACCGCTACTCGTTCGAATTACTTTCCAAAGAAAAGAAAGCCGGCTTTTCGGCGTGGGAAACCTTCGCAGATTATGGCGACCAACATCGATTTTCGCAGAACTGTACTGCAGCGCCCTCTTCTTCGTCAAGGACATCGGAGGAAGAGTGATATGACGAGTTCGAAAACAACAAGATATCACCCGTACTGTTTTCTTTGAACCGATAAATCATACCATAGTCCGAAAAAAATGAGATGGAAAGTCGCGTTGTTACAGATGGTGGTAGCGATAGTGGGCAGGGGCAACACGCGCGAACGAGCATCAAATACTCCGATGCCACGACCGATCTCGGCCGCGCCCACCGTTTCTAATCGTCAAGCATGTGATAGCCATGAGTTACAATGTATGCTGTTGATGTATTGATCGTTAGCTAAGGCAATGGTTATGGACAGCTCTGGTGGGTGGTTTGCGAAGCTGTCTTCGCCCTCCCTCACGCCCTATGAACTTCCGCACCAGAGCACACTCTGACTAATCACCCAAAAGACTAGATACCAGATTGAGCTAGGCAATATTATTAACAATCCTATATATAAGACCAATTGTATCCAAGAACGCTGCAGTAATAACAACAACATCGGAAAGCAAAGATGCGTACAGTCATCCGCCCCGCTCGCTCCTATACAGAAGTGACGCCGTTTCACGTCCATTGCATTCTATATTATTTCTCTTTCCAACCATTCTACACCATACAAACAACCTCTCCGACGAACCCACCCAGCCAAGGCCGAAAACAAACCAACCAGTTCTCACGATCCTCATAACTGCGTAGCTGTCTGCAGCTTCTATCCGGAAGTTCAATCCGGTGCGGCTCGTAAGTAACAGGCAGCGGCAGCGGAGACGACAGAAAGACAGCGGCAGCGGCAGTACTGATGACGATGTCTCAGGTTCAAATAATTTTAATTGCCTAACAAAAGTAGAGCGCACCCGCTGACGGTTGCTCAGACGCCTGGCTGTTGCTGACTTTTAGTTGTCCTGTTTGTCTATTACCTAAATGTGGAAGTGTTAGGCACGGCAGTCAACCCTCGGAGCTCGCAAGACTACAGCCCGAACTATAACGAGCCTTTTCTCCCAGGTTAAGAGAGAAGCACCGATCCCGTTCAACGCCTGATTTTCTTAAATCTCTTCTTGAGCAATCTTCAACGGAGGCAGTTAGAGCAATTTTCCCGAGAACAAAACATCCGAGAGAAAGCTCTGGCAGACTTGGTTATTTACCGGTCAGTAGCATTTCATACTTGACTGCGTTGCAACCAGCCACATGCACCTCCCAATAAAAGACAACTTTCGCACTCGGGTTGACCCTTTGCTGCGCGCTCCAGGTCCCAAAACCATAATCCCAGAGCCCAAATGCAGCTAACTGACTTCCTATTCACTAAACCGAAACCATCTGCGGCTGCCAGCAACTTCAGCCTCAGCCTTGAGTTTTGCTTCTTCGCTGCCGCAATCAATCAGGTCCTCGCTCTTTCATGTCAACCGCCTTTTCGCAATTTTATGTTTTGTTTTCCATGAAAAAGACTTAATTATATTCGCTGACTACAGAATGTTCTCCAGTTATTTCGTGCCCTCGAGGCCCATCAAGTGCCCACAAAAGATCGAAAGAAACTCAACTGACTCATTCCGCGAAACAACACCAATGGCCGACCTCACCTAGCTCTTCAAAAACCAAACAAACGACGTCTCTCTCAAATTTAAATAGCCGCCGTCTCCCGCTTGAGCCACTCAAGAGTGATCTCATCTCCTTTGAGATAGCCCGAGGTTTTCTTGAACACCTCTGCGTGATATTCGTTCAACCACTGCTTCTCATCGTCATCTAGCATCTCGACAACAGTCAGCTTCTTACACATCGGCACCATTGTCACTGTGTCGAATCCGAAGTATTTCTTGTCTCCAAAGTTGTGCGGTGTTTTCTTTTCGACCACAAGCACCACGTTCTCAATACGGATTCCGTACTGCCCATCCTCGTAGTACCCAGGCTCGTTGGAAATCAGCATTCCCACCTCCAACGGAACCTCGTTGTACTGCATTCTGGTGCCAATTCCAATCGGTCCCTCGTGCACATTCAGGAAGCTGCCAACACCGTGTCCGGTTCCGTGACGGTAATCCAATCCTTCTTTCCACAGATACTGACGCGCGAGAATGTCTAGGATGAATCCGCTGGAACCTTTAGGAAACACCGCACGCGCTACAGCAATGTGACCCTTCAACACCAGCGTATACGCCTTTCTCTCTGCCTCAGTAGGCTCTCCGTAATGCAGCGTACGGGTTGAGTCAGTTGTTCCGTCCCTATATTCGCATAAATCTGTCAGAGCCGATCACGCAAATCACACAACACTATTATAACTGCTCTTACAAGAATTGGGCACCGGAATCGCAAAGATAGATCAGGTCCTTCTTCACCAGCGCACAAGTGTTCTTCTCAGGTTGGTAATGAATAATCGCGCCATTGGATCCCGCCGAAGAAATTGTTGGGAAACTGAGTCCGACAAAATCCTTTTGAAGTCTGTACAAAAGGTTAGCTAGTCTGTCTCCACTTTCATAATTCAATAATCTGCTACTCACGATCTGTACTCCTCCAACTTATCGGCAACTTGAACCTCATCAAGAGATGCGCCAGAACTCAAAGCCCTTTCAAGCCACGCGAAATACTGGATCTGAGCAACGCCATCTTTGATATGCGCATTTCGCATACCTTCAACTTCTGTAGAATTTTTGACCGCCTTGGCAGCCTCAATCGGTGCAGATTTCAAGGTCGTCAACTTGGTTTGCTCAATACTCTTGGTCAAGGCCCAAGAAGCACTTGAAGTCGCGAGAACCTTGAGGTCAGCAGTCGCGGTAACTTCGCCAAAGCTCTTCATATCCTCGAAAATCGCTTGGTAGGGTTTGACCTTCACCGAATCTCCAAGATACTCTTTAACCTCAGCGGTGACTTTGTCTTCATCAATGTATAAAGTAGCCTCGGTAGGTGTCACAAATGCGTAAGAGAAGAAGACGGGGTTGTAGGGAATACTGCCATGATAAATCAAGCGAAGTTAGCGAAACAAGCGAACACGCTAAACAACACCTCAAAGAAAAATCAAAATGGCACAGGTTTCATACTCATTTCCACGTAGGTTGAATAGCCACGCAATTTCATCCAGCATAGACACGATCAGTCCAGATCCTTTCTGCTTTTCGATCTCTTTCCGTATATCGACCAGCTTCTCCTCAAAAGGCTTGCCGGCGTACTCCAATCCAAGAACCCTCACTTTCTCTTTCGGGCGCATCGGCTGATCCTCCCAGACCATATCAACCAAGTTGAGGTCCATACCCACAAGTGATCCGCCCTTCCGGCTCTTGAGCTTTTCCGCGAGACTCTTCGCTTGGGCAGCAGTAAGCAGCGTGGCATCAACACCGACGTTTTTTCCTCCTTCAGCCTCCCGCAAGACCCATTCTTGCCAAGTAGGCACATCCGGAAGTCCTTGCTTAAGCAACTCCCAGTTGGAATCCAGCTCCTGCTCGGCTTGAAGAAAGTAGCGGCCGTCCGTTGCGAGCGAGGCTTTCGTCGCAGTCACGACAGCGCAGCCTGCCGAACCCGTGAATCCGGATACAAACGCACGCCGAGCGTCCACAGGAGCAATATATTCGCTCTGATGAGCGTCTTCAGAAGGCACAACTACGAAATAAAAAAGAATCAAGCAAGAAAACAGTTAGCAAGATATCAGAACACTCAATGTGGGGTCCTGCCGCTATTCACGCCATCACCACAGGCTAGCTTCGCAATAAACAACACACAAACATACCATATACATCAACGTTATGCTGAGCCATCAACTTGCGAAGATCAGCAAGTATCTTTGTCGTGTCGGCACGCACCGCTGTGGGTCCAAAGGAAGTGGAGGGAGACATTGTGGTAATTGATCGGAAGAGTTGCGATGATACACGTGTAGCAGCCGACTTGACGCCAGTTGCTAGCATATATATAATGAGCTATGGAATAACTATTTGAGGCTTCAATAGTTTGAATGCCAGAAACAACAATAGATTGAGCAGAAATCGCAAGTCCGTATAAGGTCTGTGAGCAATTACAGCGCGCAGTAATTAAATGTATGATGCGGCCGGTCACAGGCGCCGCGATCTACTTGCGCACACTCAACCAAACAGGGTTTGGGTCTCGATAACAGATTTGACCCATCAGTTTTTATACTATTGAACACTTCGTTCCCACAATCTTTTATAAAAGCATTTAGATGTCGAATTACGAGAGAGTGTGATATTCGTGAACTCAAGCGACAATAGTCGGGATCTTGAAGTCATAGAAATCGAATGTATTAAATGTCACAACTTCTAATCCATCACATTCGACAAAGCCTTTTCTTGCGTCTTCAGATACTGACGAAGAGACTGCACGGCCACTATTTGATCCAGGTCATAAGCTCCTCCCATCTTCAGTCCATCTTGCAACAGTTCATAGGCAGCTCGGTATTGCTTGTCGGCGATATTCTTTTCCAGCTGATCCGCAATCTGCCGCAGTTTCTCAATCTGCTCAAGAATCTCGAGCATCTCTCGATATCTATACGCTCGCTCCACCAAACCCCGCATTTGCGTCTGCTTCGTAGTCGAGTTTTGCTTCGCTCGGATAAGGGTCTCACGAAGTGTGCGAACCCTTGTTTCGGATTCTTCAATGCTGGCCACCACTTCTTTGAATGCAGATATCGACTTGTTGATATCGGCATATCGCTCTTCAGAAATATCTCGCATGATCATCTCTAGTCGCGATGAAAGATCCATGAAATCTGGCAAATCACTTGATCGGCCTACTGAGCTTGTATCCATCAGATCTAGAGCAATCGCTACAGCGTTGCAGTCTTCACTCATCAGTTCACCCCAATCTCGAGCAACAAACTTAAGAACATCTATAACGCGAACGTCAGCACATGATCATTTAGTAGCCAGTCAAAATATTACATGTAAACGTACCGTTGGTATCCTGCGGTCCAGGTGCGAGGCTCGTAGAAGGCTGAGCTTTGCTACTGAATACTGCCGCGCCTGCATATGGATTGCGCTCAGGCTGACGATCATCTGATCTCGACCCATTGCTTTGCACCTTGGAAAACTGACCATTGAGCGATTCCTGCGAATGGTAACTTGCGGCGTAGGGGCTCACTGGGGCAGCTGTTTCGCGAGTTTCGGTCCGGCTCTGTAGTGTGTTCAGTTGCTGCTCCGAACGATCGGATCTGCTGGGCATTGGCGGCACATTGATAATAGGCTGTGATTTCTGAGATGTCGGCAGCCTTAAACTGTCCGCAGGACGGGGTCCTGATGGCACTCGTTTCGCACCGTCTTTATGCACTCGCTGAGTTGGGATGTCGGGTACAGGTGCAATATTCTCGCTTGGTTGACCCCGCATGTTGCGCACACTCCGAGCTTTTCTCAAAGGAATCATGGGAGGTCCCTTTTCTGTGGAACCCGAGACTGACGATTCCCCACTTGTCGCAGAAGTCTTGGGAGCGCGACCGTTGCTTGAGAATGACGCGCCGGCTGTAGGGGGTGGAAATTTGTTTTGCGAGGCCGAGGAAGGCAGACTACCTGGATTTTTCTGTGTCACATATGGGCTCCGGACAGCATAGCCAGATGACGCTCCGCTGATCTTGTTGCTGGATGAACTGGAAGGAGCAGACGACGTGACATTACCCGTAGAGCTTTGTGAGACGGACTTTGGCGCACTGTAGAGTGATCTAGACTCGTAAGGATTCACTTGACCTGACGAAGACGAGGAATAGTCCTTGACTGAAGAAGAGACTCCATAGGGGTTGCTAGACGCGGAATCACTTGATCTCTGAGAGCTGTTGGTAGGTGTTCTATCAAACGGCGACTGGGCCTGTTTCGCAGCCGTCGCAGACGCGTATGGGCTTTGATTGCTTCCACCCGATAGAGACTGTTGACTTGAGCTATAAGAGTTATAGGAATAAGGTGACTTTTGTTGCGACGAGTGACTGATTTTTGAGTCATAAGGATTGTTCGAGTAATTCTGAGAGGAGCTGGAGAGGGATGATGAGGATGATGGCGGCTTCATTCCAGAATATGGGTTGTAGGCAGTCTCCTGGCGCTGCCCATTTTTGCGTGAAGACATTGCCGCCTTATTCAAAAGCAGTGGTAAAGTTTTTGAATAGCAGCAAATAAAAGATGTGTTTAGTCGATGTGACCGGGATCAATCAAACAAAGGAGCTGTAGGATACCTTGTACAGGTCTGCCGCCAGATTCATAAGATCAGGTACGAAACCCTCGCGAGATGAACCTCATCGTCCGAAACTTTCAAAACAAATCTAAAGGATGACCCTTGCGCATCCCATTTCTACAACTATTAGATAAACGAGTATCGACGAACCCTCTAAGTTTACAGCCTTGTTGTGCTGGGTATTCCTGTGCAGTGCCGCTTCATTGATAGTTGCTTCTATAACTATAAGGTAGAAGCTATCTCGTCACGATGTCGGGAACTGTGGCGGAAAGCCATCTTCCTAAGTAAGTTATCAATGACGATTCGATATCTGTCAACTCTTGTCTTGCCCTGGCGGATCGACTAACAGACGACTCACAGCTGGTTGATCGCGACCACGGGTCTATTCGCATTCTCGGCTGCTTTGACTTCGTCCTTTTCGATGTATATGCATGCCAAAAATTACAGGAAGCCTCTTCTCCAGCGATTTGTTGTTCGCATACAGCTGCTGATTCCAATCTACGCTCTCACATGCTGGTTCAGTCTGGTATCGCACCGGCTAGCTATGTTTTTCGATCCTATTCGCGATATTTACGAGGCTTTCGTTATCTACCAGTTTTTGTGGCTGTTGACAAACTTCTTGGGAGGCGAACGAAATGTCATTGTTATGATGTCAGGTCAGCCTCCGCGCGAACACTTGTTTCCACCGTTCCGTCGCATATTCCCAAAGATCGACGTTTCGGATCCACATGATTTCCTTGCTATCAAGAGAGGTGTTTTACAATACGCTTGGCTGAAGCCTGTATTCTCGCTTCTCATATTTCTTATGAAGGCGATCGGGATATACCAGGAAGGATACATATCGTGGTCCTCAGGCTATTTTTGGCTTGGAATCCTATATAACATTTCCGTTTCTCTTTCGCTATACTGTCTGGCCCTGTTCTGGATGTGTCTTTCTCAGCCTCTTCAGCCCTTCCGACCGGTGCCCAAATTTTTGTGTATCAAGCTGATCTTGTTTGCGTCTTATTGGCAAGGCGTAACTCTCTCGGTGCTCGTACTTTTGGGGGTTATCAGGGACGTTGGATATTATACACCTAACAACGTTGCAAGGGTTGTACAAAATAGTTTGATGTGTGTTGAGATGTTGTTTTTTGCAATCGGACACTGGCATGCGTTCAGTTGGAAAGATTACGAAGACAATAGTATCGGCTCGGCGAGATTACCCATATATTATGCGTTCAGAGACGCATTCGGAATGCTGGATATCGTTGAAGATTTCAAAGACACATTGCGCGGCGATCAGTATCAATACAGATTCTTTGATTCAGCCGGAGCGATCGAGCATCCAGACAGTACGGCGCGATTAGCTAGACTCAGAGAAGGTCTGAGGTATCAGCACGGTGGGGCCGCCAAATATTGGCTACCAAAGCCCAGTGCCTTGCAGCGAAAAAGCTTCTTTGGAGAGCTGATTAGTGGATTTACAGATTTCGCCAGCTCTTCGAGAGGCGCTATTGTCCTTCCACTCGATGAAGATCATCTCGGTGATCTGAATGATCCCAATGCTGATGAGGCATGGAAGTTGGATAAGGAGACTGAGGATCTGTTCAAGCTTGCCAAATCGATGGAGTTTGGCGATTACAACTATCCGGTCTTGACGGTCAACGAATCGCTGAGCTATACTCCGCTAAGTAAAAAGGTTCTAGCAAGTCGGATAGAAGATTATCCGACGCAGTATTCGTGGAGTCGTTCGCGGGCAGAGTCTAGCTCAAGCGCTGGTCGCGACAGTATTGTGCAGCCACCACGCCCTCGTCAGGCTTCAGAGCCCATCATCCACAGCAATCAGTACCACCAGAGTTCTCAAGCGCTCATCGATCTTGACTCGTCAGAGCCGACGTTTCCTCGCAGCTCGAACGGGAAAAAGCCTGCCTATATCATGTCTCTAGATTCTCCATCTGCTCCTGGTCCCTCTATGGGCTGAATTATAGAGTCTAGAGACTTTTGAGATAAATCCATGGTTTGCCTTCGTGCGCTGTTTTCGTTTTTGCTATATATTAATCATCCGCACGGCCCTGTAATGATCAGAGAAGGAGAAGGCATTTTCAGTTTTTTTTTCTTTTGGATTGAGCGGCATGGAAGTTACCAACATTGGAGATAACTGGGATACACGGTTCATTTTTTACTTTTATCGACTTGTATTTGCATAGTTGCTGTTTAGATCAGTTTCATTTATGTTTTCTTCTTTATTATTTCATCTTTTAAACATGGAGTTGGCGGCTACAGATGCGATTAGCAGTGTTTCTAGACCTACCTAGTCTAGTAGTACTTGACTGCTAAATATTAATCAACAGTTTACGTGAATACCAGCTTAATTTGTATAGCTATATACAAGAGGCAGATGAGTAGAATTGTTACCCTACAAACCGTATGTTCGTCAAGCATCTTGATAAAATAAAGATTTTCGGACCTCGAATATCATATTAAGGAGAAAACTACAGGCAAAGAGCCGAAAAAACAAAGCAACAATGATCCTAACAACTGGGGTGACAAACCAAAAGGCGGTTAAAATACAAGAACACCTAGTACCGAGAAATATCAAAAAGCTCTTACAAGCATCGTGCGCGTAAGATATACATATATACTGTCCATGCCGATCTTTGATCATGAAAACAACATATATAATCAGGTTTTACCTGACCCGCCAAACATGTCTTTCTTTACGACCCTTCCTCTCGCGATGAGTAGCTTCTTGTACGGTCATGCCGATTCCTTCGGCACGGCCTCCACCATACCATATCAGACCACAACGGCATTCACTACCGCGTTCTTCTCCAACTACCCAGCGAATGTTTTTGGTAGTCTCGGAAGATGCGATCCATTCGTTTATGGCATCAAGAGCATCGATCCATTTCTCGACTGGCCCGCTAAGTGGCTTCACAAATCGGGCGATCGTAACGTGGGCGGATGGAAAATGGTAGCGACTGTCGACAGTGATGCCAGCTTTGCGCTGTACTATATCACAGAGATCTCGTCGATAGTGCTGGTAAGTGTACCAGTCAGATTGCGAGGAACTGTGTTCCTCTGGAACAAAGCTGATGGCAAGAGCATTCTGATCATAGCTCAGAATCGGCTTGACCAGAAGGGGCGCGGGTAGAGGTGCAAGGAGGTGGTCCAAATGTGGCTGAAGCTGAGCAACAACCGAGTTGACATAAGAATCTGGCTTGCTGTGGACGATCTCGAGAGCAGTCATGTGCAAGCAGTTCTGAGGCATACACCAGATCTCTGGCTCCGCCTGGCGCAATTTGCTCTGTACCTGAGCAATGAACTGCATAACATGAGAGGGAGGACGACACCACAGAGAAATGCAGTTTCGAGGATCGAACTCTGGAGGCTGGTTCTCAAGAACAAGGCCCCGCAGGATCTTGTCAGGACATATGATACCGGAGGACAGGATCAGAGAGCGGCGTTCGAGATTGCGGCGCTGGCGATGGTCCTCATAGGCCTTGATGAGATCGGCCGGTGAATTATAAAGCTCGAGAAACGCCCCAAACGTATTAACGTACTTTGATGGAGGTTCGGGAGAGGCATCAGACCGAAGCACATCAGCGGGGCCATTGACGGGCATCGACATAGGACCTGAACTGTAGGCGTCATGGGTGTGCAGCTCCAGTTGGTTAGGTAAAGACATAGCAGACGTCATTCCGTCGTAAAAGCAAACGAAAGGCGTATAGTGAAGCGAGGGTAGGAACGAGTGACGAAGGGCCAACGAATGTGTGGGAGCTGGAGGGAGGGCAGAGGTGAGCGCGAGTGGGCAAATCAGCACGAACGAACAGAGTGGATATCTACCCTGGGAAGTGAGATTGGACCACTATGACTAATGAAGATCCCAATGCAGCCGATGACTGTCTATAGTGTCTTTTCTATCTGGGAGAAAACCGTTGTGGTGTGAACGAGTGTTGATAGCTGGGGAAGTAGGCAGCCAGGCCGTTGTCGCGCGATCCAGAGTCCGAAAACGGATGGTGCCGCCTTCCGCTTTGCGCAACGCCGCGCGGCGACTGCCCTATGCCCTAACCCCATTCTCCCAGGGAAACCTTCTTTCGTTATCATAGTTGCGGACCGATGAGCCGTTGCAGACCACACGTCTCGAGCTCTGAGCTTACTTCAAAATCCACGCACGTTCATTCTTATTCCTATTATGTTACAACTCCTAATCGTACACGCCCCAAGACTTTCATATAGTGCCACCATACAAGATGCCGTCCTCAAAAATTCCCAACCATCCTGCAACGATATCAGTATAGTCCTCCCAACCAATGTCTTGTTCTCTCCGTCTCGCCAGCTTCTCTTCGATAGCAGCTTCGATAGCACTCTCGCGTTTCCGGTAAACATCGTCCAATGTTATGAGATCGACTTCTGCAACCTTTGGTGCGGCCATCCTGTTGATCGGTGCGGTGTCTGCAGTGACTTGCTTCTTTTTCCTGGTGACCAGCTCATCGTCGTCGCCCTTGATTCCAAGCTTACGTTTAAGATCTTTCAGTATGCTTCTCTGCTTGAATGCATCCCATTCGAGCTGGAGCAAGTCCTTGCGCAACGCCTCTCTCCTGACAACCATTTCTGTCAGAGTTCTTGCTGCCTCCATCTCAGTACGCAGGCGCCGAAGCTTCTCAGAGCTTTGTGTATCCGACCTCCGAGTCTTGCGCACTTGTCGGAATTCTCGTCGCCTGAAGCATGTATACGGGTCTGAATCATCTTTCTCGCCTTCTTCGAATTTCAGAGTATACATGATCGGCTTGCCATTGCGATCGATCCTTCGCGCTTTCCAATGCGGATAAATCATTTTAGCGAAATTCAGATACATCGGAAGGTTCACGCCCTTGAACGCGCTCTCCAACTCCTCAAAAGAAAGGATCTGGGAAACATCAGTCGACAGAAACGGCTGGCGTTCAGTGATTGTGCTTTCAAATTGTTGAATTATAAGCTCAAACATATCTTCGGAACATTTCTGAGATGCTGATCGCTTAGTGGAATTGATCTTCTCGAGAAACTCAAAGTCCTTCTCGTCCAGACAATACGGGCACCCGCTCGTGTCTTCGACCGTCGACGAGAACCTGATATAAGTTGCGGGCTCAGCAAATTTGCGGGTATAGTATTTTGAATATCCATCAAACACTTTCGAGGCATCGGGCGTGGGAATGTAAATCTGCTGGACCTTCGCGCCAGCCGCGGCCGCGAGGGAGGCATTGATTGCGGCCTGTAGATGGTGTTCCTAGATGGTTGTTTTCGCGGTCAGTATGCACTTCTGTTGGGTAAGGGTTTAGCAAATTTTCACACCTCTTCTTCGCCCTTCTCGACACCGGTTTCAATCTGCTGGACCTCTCGTTGCTGCTCTTCGTCGATATCTGGGATGTCGGACTGTCGTAGGATGAGCAGCGGCTGCTTGACGGAGATTTTCCGCTGCCGAAAGCGGGCAGAACCGGTCTGTTTCATGGGTGGCAAATTGTAGGAGACGGGCCACAGCTCGGGTTCTCCTAGCGCATACGGGCGGGGTAGGCACAGATAGATGCGTAGGCCATCTACTTCAGTCCAAACAGAGCATTACACTTTGTCTGTCCAGTTCGCAATTGATCTGATTGACGATAACTGGCTGTCGTTGTTGCGATGGCTGCGGTTGGAAGGTGCTGGGAGGGGCGCGGAGTCACTGCTGTGACGGCCCGGACGGCGCATTCTGGCGTAGATCTCAGTACTTCGCTTACATAAAAACGAGGGGTTAGTAGGAGGAGGGGAAATCAGGGGCATCTGGTGCGCGACAAGCGTTTCAAGCTCAACGTCGATAATCGTATTTATTGTTGTTCATCTGCCTCTTCATCTTTCCGCGTCTTCCTCCTCCTGCCTCCCCTTCTTCTCTTCCGCCTTCTAGCGTTCGTTTGAAATCATGAGCGCGGCTGCCCTTCCCAGGCTTCCCGTCAGCACATTGCCCGCTGCAGATAGCCCAAGGTATGTGCGGTGTTCCTCCTTTCCCACCCCCCTTTCGACTAAAGCTAACGATCCATATGTAGCGATACGATCAGTGACAAGAATGCTGTTTCTGCAAATGCTCCAGAAACGAGAGAAAGTCCTGATATAGACTCAAAGACCGCAACGAAGAACGACCAATCGACGCCCGACACGCCCAATACGCAAGCCAAACGTCGTCCGCCTAGCTTGATCATTGACAAATCTTTCACTTCCTCTCGATCCTTGGCCGCAAGCAACCTCTCGTCGAACGATTCTTCCAATGGCTCGCAAAAGACATCGCCGTCTAGTTCTAGCAATGTTTCAAACAGCGCCGCCAACAAGACCGCGAAGTCAGCCAGAGAAATAATCCAAGGCCTGGCTCTCCACTGCGTCTCCCCGGGATTGCCGCCGATGAACAATGAAATGGTCGAGAATATAATCAAATGCAAAGAAATTGAAAAACAGCAGCGCTTGCTGATTGCCCTGCGTCAGAAATCGGTTGATAATGGTTCTACTTTGTCGCGCTCTCGTCCTGGCGAGGGCTATGATGACAATATGCTGCGGGTACCTGGCCAAACTCCGGGAGTTGGGTCAGAAATGAACGAAAATCAGTCCCCGCGTTTCAGTAAGGCCCGGAGATTGAATCCTGAGGTTCAAATCGATCATGAGAGAAATGCTGGGAAGCGCGGGAGCGTGCCTTCAAGAATTAAAGTCATGGCACCTGCTCAGTACCGAGAGGCGGGCTATGAGCGAGCGATCCAGTCAGCCCCCCTCACCCATTCAATGAGACCTGATCCTTCTGAGTACATGCAACGACCAGAAATGAAGCAGCCGGTCCACCAGCGTTTGGCGCGTGCCCAAGGTTCGATGTTATCTCCTAGTGCCTTGCACTTTCGAAAACCTCCAATGCGATCTCGGGTAGTCGACGACAGTATGGTTTATGTACCTCATGAAAGATCGAGTTACGCCCATGCCGGTGTTGACGCGCAATATGAATCGAGAGCCAGCAGTGTTCCCAACGGCAATCAACAGATCCCGAAGCGCAATTTAGCGCGTCATCATTCAATGGCGGAGTCCGAACCTGATATCGCGGAATATGATGAACACGAGTCCTATTCACATTCTAGACCATCTCAGGGAGTCAAAAGAAGCTATGATCAGGCAACTGGTCATAGCGATCCCCGACGATCCACTGATAATTCATATCGACGACGAAGGTTTCTGGAGCTATGTTCGGAAATGTGGGATCTCTTCCATGAGGCATGAGCGGTCAGGGCCATGGTTTATCTCTTCATCAATGTGTGGGATCTTATTCATGAAGTATGAGGAGCTAAGGAGCATTTTCGATTTTGTCATTGGAGTTTGTGTGTATTTGTGTTTCATTCCATTATATCCTTACTTTGTCCATGAGCTTGTACTGTCAATTATACTGTTTTCTACTAGATAATTTGGATTCATATCACAATGCATTATTGTTGAGAGGCGCTGCATGGCTCTCCAATATTATATGAGCTGAAGAAATATGTGCCACATATGTGCATATTGAATTTGGAAAGGTCTTAGTAGCCAAGCAGCGCCCATACGAACCTTAGTAAAGAGTATTCTCAGATCTGTACCCATTTTCAGATCTAGGTTGGAAAGGTCACAGAACCCTAGTAAAATCTAATTCAGGGGTTGCCAACAACAGTTTCTCACCAACTGTTCAACTTTTTTTCCTGATTTCCACCCCAGTTTTCCCTCTTGCTCGATTCGAATTCGAATGCCTAAGTATACTAGCAGCCTGAAGTGAATAGCAGGCCAAAAATATTTGTTCAAATTCATAGCCTGTATAACTATGACAACTGTTCTTAAATTGACAGACTTTCATCTCCTTCTCCACTTGTGAATTTAACAAAGTAAAATGAAATAAAAATCCTGAATTGCATCACAAAAATAGATAATCTACTCTCAAGATACCAAATGCAAAAACAATAAGAATTTCTACAAACTACAATAGAGCATCCTTAGATAAAGAGGATGATGATAATGATAAAAAATCTTTGAAGAAGCCATGTCCAGTCTAACAGCTCACAATACAGCTGGCAATACTGCGCAAGATATTCACAAGGGGCATGTTAATACAGAGCTGAGGTTTGCCTTCATAAGCGTTGAAAACCTCGTATTGAAACAGGGCATTCTATCTGTTAGAACAGCGATCATCGACTAGCTTATAAAGGAAGCGCAATGAACATTCATGATTGACCTGGTCTGGCAACGAGGCTGCTCGAGTGGCTAAGCTGAGAGCGTGACTGCTGCCTTCAACTTTGGAAGCAGAGCGAAGCTAGTAAATAGAGACTTTGATGTTGGATTCAGACAGTCGAAGAATGGCCTGATAGATAAGAGTAGCTTGACGTTGATTCAAGGCGCGTCGAGGCTTCTCCAGACGTTTCAAGACAGCAAGGACATCCGTGAAGAAGCTGGTAGTTCTGTTTGACAGTCTTCGTCTTCATGTCCAAGTTGTGGCCTTTGCTAAGGCGCTTATTGCCGCAGATACAGATCCGAATGAATGCCCAAAAAACCATGCTCTTCATGCACGAGACATCCTCCTGATTTGACAATGAAAACCCCGACAATACCGTTGCTATCAGTGCTGTAAAGTGAGCGGATGTAGATGTCCCTGCCCTTGCCAATGACTTCCAAAATCTCCTTTTCGGGTGGTCTCTCAAGCCTGTTGGAAATGTCCGGAACCCGCCAGGGTGGATATTCTCTAGCACTGAACGTCTCGATTGTCGTTGGCGTCTAGGGAGAAGCTGATTGGTCCATAACAAGTAGTCTAATCGACTCTGGAGGCGGTCATCTTCTCCAGCCTAGTCCGATCTCCCAATGGGCGCGACAGGAGACGCGCGAGACTCATCCGGGTGGTTGGGAAGAGCATCACATCTCGGAACAAAGGATGTGTACTTGGGAGCGTCGCGATTTGAAGTGCATACTTTCGCATTCGTCGTCGGAATCTGATGGCTGCTGGAGGGATGGCTGCTTCACATTCAAGCGCTGCAATTGACGAGGACCTGAACGCGCCCAAAATCACTCTGAGTCCCTTGTTTTGCATCCCTGTGAACTTTTCATTGATCCCCGCTTTCTGATCAGTTCAGTATAGCTCTGTGCCGTAGTCTGCAAGAGAAGTGAAGGAGGAAATATAGCGCTGTCGCATGCGGAGAATGCGGTTGAACAAGCGCTGAAAACCTCGTGTTCAAACAGAGCACTCCATTCATAAAAGCGTTGAAGAAACGACGACTGAGATGTTCAATGCCAGGAATAATCCTCCCTGGCGCGTTTCGGCCATCTATCGCAGGCTTGAGACACTACCAGAAAAGGAGATTCCTGGAAATCATCAGAAAAGGCTGGACTATCTACACTCGTTCATTTCGCAGCGCTGAGAACAACGCTGTTGGCTGAGCTTTCACTGTCGAGTATGGAGGGCTCTTTAAGCATGATGGGATTGGCTTTTTGGGCTTTCAATCTGATCTTTATTCTGCGGCGATAACCGCCTTAGCGAAGGCCGCAACTTGGGCATCAAAACAAGGACTGTCAAACGAGGCCATTGACTTCTTCACTGATGTCCTTGCTGTCTTAGAACACATGGAGAAGCCTCGGCGCTTCAAATCAACGCCAGGCTACTGTGGCCAATCAAGCCATCCATCAACTGTCGGAAACCAGCACCAAAGTCTCTATCTATTGGCTTCGCTCTGCTACCAAAGTTGGAGGCAGCTCGTGCGCTCTGGCCTCAGTAACCCAAGCAGCTTCCTCACCAGACCATGCCAATCATGACTATTCGTTGCGCTTCCTTTATAAGCTCGTCGATGACCTCGCTTTTAAGCAATGTAAGGCCAGGTTTGAAGCCACGCCGCCATCAGAATACTATAAATACGAAGGCAAGCCTCGACTCTCTATCGACAAACTCCTTGAAAATATCCCTCGCATCGTTGCCAGCTGTATTGCGGGCATCCGGACTAGACATAAGTATGAAGGCAATCCTCGTCTCTCTTTGGACATGCCCCTTGTGGATATCTCGCAGCGTCGCCGCTGTATTGTGAGCTTCCGGAGTGGACATGGCTTCCTCAACAGCTACTTTGCAAGATATGGCAGAGAGCCTCATCACTCTCCTGAGTGTTGGTGTGGAATACCACTGCAGTCGGTTCAGCATGTGCTTCTTTCTTGTTGCAATTACAGAGAGGAACGGAATAGCGCCTTTGAGGGTATCCCTATGGCCGAACGTACGCTCAACCACATTCCATGGACAGACAAAGGTCTTTCTACACTTGTCAAATAGCTTCAGAAGACGCACATCGGCACTGGCCACTGGTATCATCAGCAAACCTCTCTCACACAGAGCCAGAGGGATGACTTATGGATCAATTTTTTGGTGGATTTAAGAGCAGACGTTGCAAATTTCGAGAAGGACAATTAGCCATGAGGTCTCTTGAGGAGCTTGATAGCTCGGATAAATGCTTTTGAGTTTTTTGAATTTTATCTTTTATTAGAAGATATAATACGATGCCTAGCCCCTTGTAGCGGTGCGCTTTCATTCACATATTTCTACAAAAAGAGTAATCACCCAACCACAACAAGAAAAATCAATCAAAACTATCTAAGATATCAAAGAATGGACATTTCTGCATCTTTTTAGAAGTGCATGTAGTATTACCTGTCCTACTATAGATGTTACAGCCTTGTTCGGTTGGCTCAGCAGTCCTTTGCTCTCCACCCCCCTCACGTGTTTCGACCTACAGTTGCTCTTGAGCATTGCCTCCTTTTGTCAAATCATGTCGTGTTGATTGTTCATCCTGTCATGTAAGGTACTCTCACAATCGATTGTGTGATGATGATGATAATAAATGTCTGTTCTATTTAAGTCCATTGCAACAATCAGGTTTTATTGATTAGATGCCTTGGCAGCACTTATACAGCTCCGCATTTTTTTCTTTCTTTCTAAATAGCTTAATAAATGAGAGCTCTCAACTTTCCTTCATAGTGGATGCCATGGTTGGCTGGGGTGGGATGTGAATGATGATGATGAATCTTTCTATTATAGTCTATTTGCAACAATTAGGTTATGACAGACTGTCTCCAACTTCTTCCGCCAGTTTTTTCTTAAACTCCATTTCTAATACAACTTCAATTTTCCATCTCCCTGATAGTATATCCAAGTATGTCTGCCTGAAGTGGAGGACAAGCCATCCAGTAGGTGCTTCAGTTGAACCATTGTCACAAAGGGAAGGTGTGTAGTAAAGTCCATAGTATAATCCATAAAATCCGGGGGATCTCATTTCTTTCATTGCTTTGTTGTAAAATTGGTGCTTCTGCAGTGGGGGGTTCAATATGAATTTTGCAACCAAGACCATTTTTTGCTGAATTTTATGAGAGTGATAAAAGAGGGTGTTCAATATTAGGCCAAATCCAAGAAAAGCTCACAAGCGGGGCACGAACCGAGGATCTAAAGGGAGAAATGCAGCGGCCATACCGCTGGGCCATATCACTGCTCCTGGGGTGGGATCTTGTTGAGAAGGAGGAATAGTCCAACTATATGGCTACAAGGTGCTAGGCGTTAGGAATTTTGTGAAATTTCTTTGTGTTATTTTTTTGACTTAGATATTCATTTTGCATTGATTGACTGGTTACTGTGACATGATATTAGGATTTATTTTGTTCTTATATAGCCTGGTTAAATGGGCACAGTATGCGCTTTGTTAAAGAGGTTTTGACTTCAGCATTTGAGATGAAAGACTTGGGTGTTGCAGACAAATTTCTGGGAATGAAGATTTCTCAGACTGCTGGTTCTATATCTATTGATCTTGAAGACTATATCAATCGCATTGTTGAAGAATTTGATGATAACAGTCTTCATCCGGTTGAGATTCCTATGTCTCCCTCTTTCCCTCCTGATTCAGATGACTCTCCCATCATCATCATCATCATCAAAACAACTCGCAACAACAATCAAACAAGTAATATGGCAGAGGAAAGCTCGTCCTGGGACGGGCCGCCTGAAGCCTACTCGGAGCAGCCCCAGTCAGAGTGTACTGATCTGGTAGTGGCTCCAACCAGAGAAATGTTGAGTTTTTTGCCCTCAACTCCGACTCCAATTATTGGCCTCAAACGCCAGAAACCATCGGAACAATCGCCTACACCGCCTCGTCCTGGTCCTCAAGCGATGCAGGAGACTGGATTGCCCCCTCTCCTTGAAAATGGGGACCCGGAAGAGGCTCTATTCGCTGAAAACGAATACAACGCGCACCGCCAATCATCGGATTTGACACCGGATGGACTGGCTTCTACGCCGCCCCATCGAATCCATGAATGCGCGGAAGCGGGATCTACTGAATCTACGAACGCCAAGGACTACGAAACCATCTCGAACGACCTAATTGCCATCGAATCTGACGAAGATGCGATGTCTGAAGAAGGTGAAAATTTTTCCGCTTCTCCAGATGATCCGACATCAACACCCCAACCGACACCTGACCGCGCCTCTGAGCAGGCTGGCCAAGACGCAGAGCCTTTGTTTACTGAATCTCCTTCCATTGAGGACCGCCTTGCCAATATGGAGCGTACCATTGAAAGACTTCAGGCTGAGAATACTCAGCTTAAGGGAAAGATTGAAAAATTTTCACCCCCCAAGAGCACCTCTGAAAAAGATGCTCGATTTGAGAAGTTGGAGACGCTCTTTGAAGCAATTCCTGATGGAATGCAACTGCAGCTGCCACCTAACCAATTGTCTAATGTCATTTCGATCATTGCCCAGCTTGTGAAAGTATATGGACTCGACATCACCGGAGTGATTAACCTTTTGAATGCCCTTAACGACTCTAATGAGAAGCACGCCATGGATAGCCGGGATGAGGAGAGACAGGCCTCTTCAGCGGGCCCCAATACTGACGCCAATGCAAGGATTTCCGCCCCCAAAGCAGGAGCTAAATCAGGGACCCAGTCAAGCGCGCGAGCCAGCAATGTTGCCTCGCAATCCATTGCTCGCAAGCCAGTTTCATATGCCTCCAAAGCTGCTGCTAACGTTGCTAAGACGGGAGCAACTTATGTTGAGAATATTGCGGTTCTAATGGTATATTCGAATTGTTGAAGTTGTGGCGGTTCTGGTGGTATATTTGGGAAGATTGTGGTGACTTTATTCACAAAGTTATTGCACATTTTGTGGTGAGAAAAGAGAAGGAGTTAAGGTTGTGTATTGTGCCACATCAGTGTGGCGTGTGAGTGTGGCGCAAGACAGTTGTTGAACTCTGGTGCCCTTGAGATGGATGTTAGGGCAGAGAAGGTCTTTGGGAAAATTTTGTACATAAAAAGGGCCCCTCCTACCTTCCTAGCTCGTTGTCAGAAAACCATACAACAAACCAAAGCTAATATTTCTGATCAACGACTAGGTAAGGCTTCTTTGTATTATTGTCAGAAAACCATACAACAAACCAAAGCTAATATTTCTGATCAACGACTAGTTAATAATATATTGTCTACTCTATCACTATGAGCGTCCCTGAAGAATACAAGTCTCTGGATACTTCCTTTAAGGAATGTACTGCCAGTTTTAAACAGGTTATGACGTCCCCCTCTTCCGTTCGCTGCGCTGAAGGGTCGCTGCTACGTGATTCGAGCAATTTTTATGCCTGGTCGCAACACATCCTCATGATGGCCAGAGATTTTGATTATGGTGATCTCCTGGCCGCCTACCTTAAGGACGGACGCACCGCTATCGTCTTCTACTTCGGCGTGACGGACCCCAACGCCCACGCCGTCCTAGCTTTGCTGCCCTCGTTCACTCAGCTGGTGGCTCAGATGGATAAACTCTGTGATCGCATTGTTTCTTCCTCCGTCTCTGAGGATGCCAAGGGATCTTTCTACAATGATCGCATCAAGGACGAACCTCACCACGGTGCCTACAAATTCTGTTTGAAACTGGCAGTACATTCCTTAAAGGAAGTATCCAGAGTCTTGTATTCTTCAGGGACGCTCATAGTGATAGAGTAGACAATATATTATTAACTAGTCGTTGATCAGAAATATTAGCTTTGGTTTGTCGTATGGTTTTCTGACAATAATACAAAGAAGCCTCACCTAGTCGTTGATCAGAAATATTAGCTTTGGTTTGTCGTATGGTTTTCTGACAACGAGCTAGGAAGGTAGGAGGGGCCCTTTTTATGTACAAAATTTTCCCAAAGACCTTCTCTGCCCTAACATCCATCTCAAGGGCACCAGAGTTCAACAACTGTCTTGCGCCACACTCACACGCCACACTGATGTGGCACAATACACAACCTTAACTCCTTCTCTTTTCTCACCACAAAATGTGCAATAACTTTGTGAATAAAGTCACCACAATCTTCCCAAATATACCACCAGAACCGCCACAACTTCAACAATTCGAATATACCATTAGAACCGCAATATTCTCAACAAATTCATGCGCGCTGAGCATGGTCTTGCCCTCACCAAGGATATCCCTCCGTTCTTTGCCTCTCTCTGGTTTGCCAAGGGCTCCTTGCACAATCGCACTCAAAAGGATCTCACATCCTTCATTCAACAATTGCGTCAGTCGATTCTCTCTCGTCCCATCGAAGAAGCGACTTCTCTGCTTTATCTCGCGAACCTCCCGCCTGCCGTCTACGCCCGTCTTCGCCTCCATCCGGAATTCGACACCAGTCGCACCATCTCCGCCCTCGACAAGCTTGTCTCGCTTTCCTCGCGTGAGACCTTGGGCTCTGCTCACTCCGGTACTGACCGCTCTCTCAATTCCGGCTCTTCCGGCCCTATCGCGGCTGCGGCTTTCCGTCGTCCGGCCACCTCCGGTGGCCCGACAAACAACAATCGCCAGTCCAACAATCGCTGCTCTCATTGCCAGCGCCAAGGTCATGTTATCTCTGCCTGTCGTCAGCGTGCATGGGACCTTGTTCAAAAGTTGGGTGGTTATGATGCGGTTGTTAAGCTTTCTGAACAAGCTAAACCCGCTATTGCTTTGAGTGTTACTTCTAGTGATGATAATGGAACTATTCTTGACTGCTATCTGGACTCTGCTTCAACTCACCACGTAGTCAACACAAAAGATTTTTTCACTTCCTTTGTCTCCTCGGCGGGTACTTGTTGAAAATAGTGTTCCATTATGCAGCAGGATCAAGGGTTTCCTTGGAGGGAACAGAAACCCTAAGGAAATTACTAGGTGGAACCAGAAGCAACTGGAAACAGCTAGAAGGGACCGGAAGCAACTGGAATCTACCGGAAGGAACCAGAAGGAACTGGAAAGAACTGGAAGCAGCTAGAAGGAGCTGGAAGGATCTGGAAGGAGCTGGAATGATCTGGAAAGATCAGATGACTGATCAGATGACTGGTCAGATGACTGATCAGATGATACTTGAAGAACTTTGTATAAATTTTGTATGAACTTATTTTGTCTATATATTGACCAGCTCCCTCCCTTGTTTTGTACATATAATTCAATCAACAACATATCATATTATCTATCAAAGCACACTTAAGGAATATCATCATCAATGGATAACTCTGACAACTTCAATATGTCTGGAACTTCCACTGGCAAAGACAATTTGCAACAGGTTATGAGCCCTGGCAATGACTCTTTGAAGTTACCAATCCTTAATGCTCTCAACTACTCTGAATGGGCTTTTGCCTTGAGGATGGTGATGGAGCAGAAGGGCCTGTGGGGAGTTGTGGGCACACCTTTGAGTGACCTTGACATAAAGTCACAAGAGGAGGATCCCCACTTTGAGTCAATCAACAGACAGGCTCTTATATTGATGATGGGCGCGGTACAAGTCAAGGATTATCGGCACTTGAAATGCGGTAATGCTAGGAAGGCTTGGAAAAATCTTCAGGGTGTATACATGAGTGATGCAGCAGGAGTCAAAGCCTCTTTGGTGGCCAAGTTGTTGTTCCTCAAGTTGGAGGAAGCAACACTTGAAGCCTTTGAGTCCTATGAGCGTGAGTTTATGGGGGTTCTTGAGCAGATGGACCAGCTAGATGTCAAACTTCAAGATGTCTATGCCTCCATTCTCCTCAGATCTTTCCCAGATGCACTTGAGGGCACTATCTCAGTCCTTGAGCAGCAGAAGGATACGCTCACAGTCCAGGATGTCTTCAGTGGAGTCAGGACCTCCCTGACCAGGAAGCCTCAAGGAAACCAAGGCAGAGGTAGCTTGCTTGCAGTGAAAGACTCAGGGAAGAAGAAACTGAAGTGTTATAAGTGTGGAAAGGAAGGCCACTTCAAGAGAGACTGCCCTAAAGGAAAGGATCAGAACAAGGACAACAAGTTCAAGATCCATGCAGCTGTGGTTAACAGCAACCTCGGTGCTGAACAGCGGGTGGAAAGGGCAGGGTTGGTGGCAGGAAATCAGTCTGGAAGGCTTGAGGATAGTGGGTGGTTCATCGACATGGGAGCCACCAGGCACATTACATCCAACAGAGCCGTTCTCCAGGATTATCAACCTCTGGAAGCAATATTAGAGGTTGCTAATGGGCAGTATATGAGAGCAGTGGGACAAGGAAATGCCTTTGCCAAAGTCCAGGACAGAGGAAAGGAATACACTGTGCCTCTCAAGAATGTACTGCATGTGCCTGAAGCGAAGATGGGTCTTGTATCTACCAGCATGCTGAGCAAGGATTCAGATGTTTGGACAATTGATGCAGGGCTGAAGTGTTTTGTGAGCACCTCGGAAGGACAGAAGATCAAGATCGGAACACGCTCAAAGTTCGAAGAGCTGTGCCGGTTTGATGGACAGTTTGCTGAAATTGATATCAACAAAATCAATGCAGTCAGTTCTATATGGCATCAGAGACTCGGACATGTCTCTGATCAGATCCTGGAGCAGATGCAAAGACACAGCACTGTCAAAGGTCTTGACACTCACATCTCAAGTTGCAAGTGCAATACTTGCGCTGCTGCGAAATCTCATCGACTACCATACAAGGAAAGCACTACCAAGACGATGCGTCCACTGGAACTCGTTCATACCGATGTTTGTGGACCAGTCTACAATTCCTTGACTGGTGAGAAGTATTTCATGACAATGATCGATGACTACTCACATTATGTGAATGTCTACTTCTTGGAAAATAAGTCGGACGCGGCAGAGGCTATCAGGACGTATATTCGTCAGTCTAGCAACAAACTAGGACAGACAATGGTGACCCTTAGGTCAGACAATGGCGGCGAATACACCTCGAAAGATCTGGAGAAATTCCTGGATGAACAAGGAATTGAGCACCAGACTACTGTTGCAGAGACTCCTCAACAGAACGGCGTCGCTGAGCGAATGAATCGGACTTTAATTGAGAAAGCATTGAGCATGTTGATCGAGGCAAAAATGCCGGAAAAGTTTTGGCCAGAAGCGATCAAATGCGCGGTTCATGTCGCAAATCGGATCACTAGCAGAGCTATAGCGCCCAACACAACACCCTATGAGCTCTGGTTTGGCAGGAAGCCTGATGTTTCCTACTTCCGGGTCTTTGGAAGTACGGCATGGATTCACAAATCGAAAACTCAGGCTGGTGGCAAGTTTTCCCCAAAAGGAATCCGAGGAGTGATGGTTGGCTATGCTGCAAACAAAAAGGCATACAGGATTTATATCCCATCACGAGGGGTAACTTTTGCCAGAGATGTTGTCTTCGATGAGACAACATTGGGGCTTGATTGGTACAAGCCTGCACGCTTGGATAGCGGGTTGGAAAGATCTTCAGAAGTTACAGTTGAACAACTTGGAGCCAGTATTGGTTTTTGGCCTCGAGTTCATCATCCATCCAGTGCTCTATCATCAGAAGATAATAGATCAAGTGGGAGAAGAGAAAATGATGAACCAGCTGAGGATGTTCAGGATGAGTCGGTCGAGGCTCAGGAGTCTGAAGACATGGAAATTGATCACGACTTGGAGGAAAATCAAGGAGAGATGCGAGTCGTTACTCGCAATGAGGACCAAGGGCCGAGAAGACGGCAAATCCGTGATGTGGACGCCATTGAGGAACGAATCAGACAGCGAATTGCAAGGGATGAAAGAAACTCCCAGGGCACTCTCAAAATATTCGATTTCAATGACTACGATTATGAGGACAACAATGAGGAAGACGATGAGATGGATCTCGACAAAGAAGAGTCAGACGGCGATGATGCTCGATTCATCAGAGAAAATTCAAAGAAACGAAGGCTCGACGGCAACAGGATCAACAGCGATCGAATGATTCTCGACAGGAGCGACAGAAGTGAGTCTGAGGATCCACTCAGTCTTCAAGCATGGGCAGTCAGGACAAAAGATACGGCAGAGCCAGTGACAATTCAGCAGGCAAAGGCAAGCCCAGAATGGTTACACTGGAGCAAGGCTTGCGAGGACGAGCTCAATTCTCTACAAGAAAATCAAGTGTGGAGATGGAGTGAACTACCTAGTGGGAGAAAAGCAATTACTTCCAAATGGGTTTTCAAGAAGAAATATGGCAAGGATGGCCAGCTCACAAAATACAAGGCTCGGATTGTTGCCAGAGGATTCACTCAAGAATATGGAATTGATTTTGATGAGACCTTTGCACCAGTGGTCAGATTTGAATCAATCAGGATCCTTTTGGCTCATGCTGCTATCAATGACTACCATATTCATCAGATGGACATAAAGACTGCTTTTCTCTATGGAAAATTGGAAGAGGAAATTTATTTGCAGCCTCCTCCAGGATATTTTCAGAACAGCAAGAAAGTATGGAGATTACAGCGGAGTCTTTATGGTTTGAAGCAGGCACCACGATGCTGGAATGAGCTGCTGCATGATTACTTGCTACAGATCGGTTTCTCTCAGTCAAGCAATGACTATGGCATTTACAGAAGCAAAAAATCAAACCTATTGCTTGCTGTATATGTTGATGATCTGATAATTACTGGCAAGGATTTGGACTCTATCAATAAGTTCAAAGAGAACATGCGCAAAAGGTTCCAGATGACTGATATGGGTGAGACAAGCTATTTCTTGGGGATTGAAATTACCAGAGACAGAGCCAAAGGCACTCTCACAATTTGTCAAAAGAAATATGCTGAGGAAGTCTTGAAAACCTTCAATATGCAAGACAGCAACCCTGTCACAACGCCTGTGGATTTGAGTGTTACACTCTCTCAGAAAATGAGTCCAAAGACCAAGACTGAGGAAAAGGAAATGGAGAAAATTCCCTATCAGAGTGCTGTTGGAAGCCTGAATTATTTGGCTATTGGGACGAGACCAGACATTGCAAATGCAGTGGGAGAAGTCTCCAGATTCAACTCCAATTATGGAAAGCAGCACTGGACAGCAGTCAAGCGAATTTTGCGATATATCAAAGGAACGGCATCCATGGGAATCACCTTCAGCAAACACCATGGCAACTTACTTACCGGCTACTCAGATGCAAATTATGCAATGGATATTGATGAGCGGAAATCAACCTCAGGATATGTCTTTGTCCTTGGAGGTGGAGCAGTGAGTTGGAAATCCAAGCGCCAGAAATCAGTTGCCTTGTCAACCACAGAGGCAGAATATATGGCACTGAAGCTAGCAGCTCAGGAAGCTGTTTGGCTGAAGAGACTTTATGAATTCATGAGCCAGAATTCACACCGGCCGATTCAAATCGCAGAAGACAATCAGGGAGCAATCAAATTGGCAAAGAATCCACAGTTCCATGAGAGAACAAAGCATGTTGATGTCAGCTATCACTTCACCAGACAAGCAATCACTGATGGCATTATCAACATTATTGGATGTGGAACCAAGGATATGGTTGCAGACCTTTTGACCAAAGGAATTGCAAGAGAGCAATTTGGAAAGCTGAGATCAATGATGGGAATGAACTGAATAATGGAAAAAGTGGGAGTGTTGAAAATAGTGTTCCATTATGCAGCAGGATCAAGGGTTTCCTTGGAGGGAACAGAAACCCTAAGGAAATTGCTAGAAGGGACCGGAAGCAACTGGAATCTACCGGAAGGAACCAGAAGGAACTGGAAAGAACTGGAAGCAGCTAGAAGGAGCTGGAAGGATCTGGAAGGAGCTGGAATGATCTGGAAAGATCAGATGACTGATCAGATGACTGGTCAGATGATTGATCAGATGATACTTG